ATTTTTGTGATTTTTGGGCCGAATTTTTTGATTTTTTGGGCGGAATTTTTTCATTTTTTGACCGGAATTTTTGAGTTTTTGAGTGGGATTTTTTTTGTTTTTTCATCTCTATAATTTTGGGATTTTCTGGGGGTCCCAATAACCCCAAACCAACCCCAAACCAACCCCAAATTTCCCAGCTGTGGTGAGGAATTACGGGCAGCTGCTGCTGGAGCTCTCGGCCGTGGTCCCCGACGGCCTCGTGGCTTTTTTCACCAGCTACGTTTACCTGGAGAGCACCGTGGCCTCCTGGTATGAGCAGGTGAGAGACCAAAAAAATTAAAAAAAAATTAAAAAAAAATCCCCAGAAATCAGAGACCCTGAAATCCCATTAAAAAATAAAAAAAAAATCCACAAAAATGCTCAAAAAATGGCCAAAAAAGCACAAAAATTCCTCTCAAAAATATCCCCAAAAAAAACCCCCAAAAAATTTAAAAAAAAATCCAAAAATATCACCAGGAATCAAAGAACCCGAAATCCCCCCCAAAAAAACCAAAAATTCCCCCCAAAAAACCCAAAAATATCCCCAAAAAAACCCCAAAAATTCAGGACCTGGAGAGCACCGTGGCCTCCTGGTATGAGCAGGTGAGAGACCAAAAAAATAAAAAAAAATTAAAAAAAAAATTTAAAAAAATCACCAGGAATCAGAGAAATCAGAGACCCCGAAATCCCATTAAAAAATAAAAAAAAAATCCACAAAAATGCCCAAAAAATGGCCAAAAAAGCACAAAAATTCCTCTCAAAAATAGCCAAAAAAACCCAAAAAATTAAAAAAAAAACCCTAAAATATCACCAGGAATCAAAGAACCCGAAATCCCCCCAAAAAAACCCCAAAAAACCAAAAATTCCCCCCAAAAAATCCCCAAAAATTCAGGACCTGGGGAGCACCGTGGCCTCCTGGTATGAGCAGGTGAGAGACCAAAAAAATTTAAAAAAAATTAAAAAAAATTAAAAAAAAATCAGCAGGAATCAGAGACCCCGAAATTCCATAAAAAAACAAAAAAAATCCACAAAAATGCCCAAAAAATGGCCAAAAATCCTCTCAAAAATAGCCAAAAAAACCCAAAAAATTTTAAAAAAATCCAAAAAAATCTCCAGAATTCAGAGACCCAAAACCCAAAAAAAACCCCCAAAAATACCCAAAAAAAACCAGAAAATTCAGGACCTGGAGAGCACCGTGGCCTCCTGGTATGAGCAGGTGAGAGACCAAAAAAATTTAAAAAAAATTTAAAAAAAAT